ACACGGAAAAGCATTCATCATTCGGTATCGTTTAACACATAGAAAAGAGCCTTAAAATCATGAAGAAATAGTCCACTCTTGGCTATTAGTCTCACCCTTCTGAATCCTTTTATGTCTAAGCACCTCGACTTAAGCCCTGCTATGATTACGCTTTCAGATGAACAGTTATTTTGAATCTCCACAACACGAAGATTCTGAGTGCTCGTACTGCATCCACACAGAACACGTGCAAGTTGTTTACCTATCGTTCTACGAAGCAAGATAATACTGTCATTAACCAACATATATTATTGCTCCTTCTTCCCATTGGATTTGCTATACGAGACTAAAATTAGTTCCTTCATGTTTTGTGCATTCTCTACTAAACAAAAGTTGGTGGCTGCAAACTGGTTTTGCTGTACACAGTACGCTCACCTATAACCAGTCACCAGGACTTTCTCTATATGTACTTTTCAGTCTACGATAAACCAGTGACAATCTGAAACTCTCTTGCAGTGTCTCGCCTTAAAGCTCTATCGAGACTGTGATTCATGTGCATGTTGGACAGATATTTCAGGACCATTAAAAAGAGTAATTAATCCGTAAACACTTATTCCTAGACTTACAAATTGAGACTTTATATGACAAACTCCTTGTTTACAGTTTACAATTTATTTAGGATAGTAGGCTATATGCCTGTGTTAATCCTTTCGATTTGTTACACACAGGAGGTCCAATCTCGCCTTGAATGAATCAACGGATGGCGCTGATACGACGTGTTCCGGTAGGGAGTTCCAATGGTTCACAATCCGATGCGGAAAACGGATCTCCAAACGCAGACGATTCGACCGTGGTTTTTGAACCTTGAGGTGATGTCCTCGCAATTGGTTGGTGCTAGAAGGAAGAAATAAATTAGATAAATTTGCTCCAAAATCATTTCTTAGGATACGGTATGCTAGTATTAGGTCACCCCTAAGTCGTCTGTATGACAGTGGAAATAAACCCAGTCGACTTAACCTCTCTTCATATGAGAGGGTTGAGAAACCCTTTATTAGCTTAGTTTCTACTCTTTGCACCCTTTCTAATAAGTCTATTTCGTATTTGAAACACGGGCTCGCTGCACGGATCCCATATTCCAAATGAGGTCTGATATAAGTCGGATATAATATACGAAATATTTCAGCGTCAAAATTGTTGTTAGGTATTGACTCCTCTGCGTATCTCTCGTTCGCAATGCAAGTGCTATGGTTTTATAATACTAAAGGATGACTGTCTGATATAGTCCGTTTGACTGCCTTCCTTTCCTATGTTAGAACAGCGACTGATGCACTCATACTGGGCTTAGAATTCCAACCTGCTACATGATGAAAATTGAATACTGGGACAGCAGGTAAAACATTAGCTATTTGAAGAAGAAACTCTCTGAAGAAGTGCCAACAGTGGACTACCCAACACCATGTTGGTGTGATAGAACTTTACTTGGCTGAGGCCGGCAAACAGGTGTTTACTTACTCTATTCAGAGTGTCTTGGTACAAAACAAATGGAGGAGGAAGCTGGTTGGAGAAACAGATAATTTCAGTGGGTCCTGAACTTTAATTCACTGTTCATTCAAAAACACAACTGGTATATTTGATAGTGAAGTGTCAAGATATGATCTCAGTTGCTGGGTTGAGGGATCCAGGATGTCCGTGATCTTGAAATCTATGAAACTGACTTTATTCGCGTCATCTTTAGTACTATATAATTTTCTCTTCATTTGTCTCCACTTCATAAAGACACTTTGAAAGAGAGCTTGATTAAGGAGAGAAAACGGATGTCTCATTTACACCCACCACAGGTCAAATTGCTTACGACGATTGACTCACAAAACAATGCAATTACGTGTCTTCGTTTGGCATAATTTTCCAAAAATTACCACTTAAGATGAAATGAAAGTATCTCTTAAAGTTTTTCAGAAGAAAACTGGTAATTTTCATGTATTTTGCTTTTACGCTTGTCGCTTTTTGAAAAGTGCATCAGGGTGTTCCTATAGGACATTGGGTGAACTATAACACTTATACATTTAGGTGTTGACATAGCCTATCATTCACTCCATACATTTTCTAAGAACTTTACTTGAGTCTAAGGCTCAGCCTTTGAAATGCGTAGGATAGGATCGTCGTTTGGATAGGCCCGTTATTATCAGTCTACATTAACATTATTGGCAATATTGTCCCGTTCAATCATGTGGTGTTTTGAGTGCCTTGCAGCAGCTTTCTTAAGATCCTTCTTGCGGTAGACTGAGATGATCATGTTTCACATAACCTCATCCATGCATTGGAGCAGGGCCTCAACTGCTCAGGTATGTATATACCTCTTGATTGTTCTTCGGATAAAATTGGCCTTAATTTCCACCACTCGTACTCAAAGTCTTTCAAAATATTTAGACTGGCCAAGCCAGTTCTTATCACCACTAAGACCAATAAACTAGCCACGGAGTCACTAATGATGGTTCAGAATACCACTTTCGCAGCTGACCACAGAAGTCTACATCATTGTTTCCGTTGTATTATCAGTAACCGGTGTGGCTGCAAGGAACCTGGTGAACCTAACAATCCATGTAAGTATCCATGAGGAGGGTCTGTCAAGTTCACATGGACATGGACAAAACGAGTATGTGATTGCGAGAGTGTTTCTAGAGGTGAAATGTGTGCCTGTTTATCTTAGCCTTCTGCTATGATATGCACAGTCTCGACGAAATCTACGAGTCGTCTTTCAATTTTCATGCTGAGTGTGTAAATTAGAGGCCTGTAATCTGTTTAGATGATGAATGGTCTGCCTGTCCGTGGCGAAAGTGTTGGGAGCAGCCCTCTGCCAAAAGTGAAGTACCTTGTTTCTTCAGGACTAAACCGTTTATGGAAAGAATGCTACTGGTTCCCAGACATCTTCAGCTAGTTGATTAAGAACTGTTCACAAAATTGTTCTCTATCTCTCTATCAACTGGAACATATCCAGATGCATGGAAAACCACGCACATTACCCCTAGGTATAAGTCAGGCTCCCGTGCAAGTGTCATGAGTTACAGACCCATTAACCTAACTTCTGTTATTTCAAGGGTTCTGGAAAAGATCGTGAAAAGTGC